ACAGAAAGCTAAAAAGAAAACAGAATAAGAGAACGCATATAATAAATTGAATACGCTTGAATTTACCGTTGCTTAAAGGTGCGCTCGGCCACTGCAAATATCATGAATAATATCAGCGTCAGGCAGAGGCGTTGCACAAAGCCCAGCGCCAGCACAGTGCGCTCCCATTGCTCCTCACCAAAGGCAAAGCCGAAGAGTGTAAAGAAGGAAGACGATGACTTCTTCCACAACAATAGTGGTATATAGAAATAGCTTATATCATTAGCCTTATCCGCATCAATTGTGATCTGAGAAAGAGGTGGAATACAGACAGAGTAGGGGAAAGCTATTGGTCTCGTCCCGTACCTCGCATAGCCTACAAAATGTGGGTATTAACGTCAGCAGGAACGAGAAAAATACGCCTATGTATATATAGTCATTGGTCACGCCCAGCGAATCGACGCGTTCGATAATGCACGATGCGATTTCCAGGACAGACATTTGAGCCTTCTTAGCATCGCGCTGATCCCAAATGGTGCAGCTAACTGAAAGAATATTTAATAATAATTATTATTATTAATTGATACAATCATGAAGTTTATTCTGGCCAACTCACTGCGATCCAGACTGCTGTGTGGATTGAGTATGGTCGTCGGTGTTATATCCAGCTCTGGCAACTCCTCATCACTGCAGGCCTGATGCTTGAAGCCGCCATCGGATTGATCCAGCTCGGATGTATAGCTACAATCTTCGCTGTTTGTGGTCACGCCCAACCAATCGGTAGCCGATGTATTGCACTCTTGTGTGCCAGCCGAGGCTGGACTTGAGATAATATCCGCGTCGTCACATTCATCCGACTCGGCACAGCTGCTCGTGGATTCATGAGTGATTTTATCATTTGAATCGCTTGTCGCATTGTTGTTGCTATTGCTGCAACTGCTCACATTGAGACGCAGTCGGAGATGATTCGGCGTCGCTGTGATGACATTTGATGGGCTTGCCCCACTGGGCGCAGAACTATTCACATTGGGCGAATGATTGTTATCCTCGCCGCTGGAGCTTTTATTATTCAAGCTCTCGAAGCCGTCGTCTTCGCCAATGCTGCGATTTGTGGGTCGATAATTGGGCTCCAGGCGTGCACCACTCGGTGCTGGGCCACTGCTCCTGTTGAGCTCAATGCTGGACGAGGGCAACTCATTCTGATCGAATGTCGCATAGATCTGGATGGGCGTATGCCAATTGACATTGCGCTTCTTCTGGGGACTGTCGGTAGCTTCGGCGTTTGCCACCTGTCTGAGATCGTAGAGCGGCTCGTTTAGCGTGGTGCTATCCGCTGCAGCTGCAGCTGCTTGATGATTCTGGTGATGTTGATGCAGTATGGTTATGGCAGTTGTGGTAGGGAAGGTCTCCTCGCTAGGAACTGGATTGCATGTGCAGGGCTTCAAATCGGGGCTGGCTTCGGTGCTGAGGGGCGGCAATTTCGAACGTCGCGTGCTCAATGCATGATTACTATTTGTCTGTGAATTGTCCGACTCGGCCTGACGCAAGCTGTGAGTAATAAATTATAAGTTCAGATTTATTATGAATATATGTAAACAGTTATTATTTTCACTTGCCGCACAAACTTCTTGCGTCGCCTAACGCGCGGCAAATTGGGCTTGTCGCCCCCGAACGCGGGTATGGAAAAGCGACGCAATTTGTTTTTATTGCTGGCACCACCCGGCGCCGTATTCGTTGCCACAATCTGTGAGTGTATTAAGCTAATCAGCAAACTGAGCGCACAGGGTATGAGGAGTGCGCTGAGCAAGTCGGCATTCTCCTCCGCATTCTGCTGCTGGTGCTGCTGCTCTTGCTGCTTATCGACTGCAGCAGCAGCAGCAGCCGCATCGGCGTCTACTGTCGTCGTTGCGTTCGTTTCCTGTACATAGACCAGCGGCACCAGCCGATTGCTGTGCATAATGTATACAGCCCAATTGATCCATTGCGTGATGTACAGGCAGAGTATGAAGCCGAAGGCATTCGGTGTCGTCTGCTTGACCCACCATTGTGCATAGAGGGGCAGCAACAGATATCGAAGTATGGCCAAACGAATGACGGTGATTAGGGTTTGCTTCGGCTTTGCTTTGGGAAACGTCGAGCCTGTGGAGAGAAATACATAAATACATATAGAATGGAATATATTAATTTATATATATATATATATAAGTTGTACCCCGCACTAGATCGACATCAATGAGTTCAGTTTTGAGTTTGGTATTCTTCAAGTTGACGCTATTGAAGCCATCCAGAATGCGTTGCTCGACAGTTTTCTCCCATTCTTGCTTATCATAGGTGCCGATTCGTTTCTGGTACCTAGACGATAAACAAATAAACAAACGAATAACAAATGTGTGTCAAATTCATGTTATGCAATTTGTTGTTCACTTACCCTGCGACAATTTCATCCAATTTCATAGTAATATTGACATAAAAGCCACTAAATTGTCACGCGCCCGACTGAAAAAGTAGTTTAAGAAAATAGAGCAAACAAATCATTAAAGATCTCCATTAAACCGACTTGCGCTATACAATTACAGAAAGCAGATTTAACTGGCCAAGCAATCGAAATTCATCTGTTGGAGTATTTTTTCCACTATTCATAATATTGTATTTTCTTTTTTCACTTAAGCAGCTGCAATTATTACCGATAAACTGGTTTCTTTGAACTTGTATTGGCTAAGCGCTTTAGTTAACAAGAAGTAAGTGATTAATAACTGATTAGTGGTTTTTCAATGACAGCTGTCTGATAAATAATTTAAGTCATTAGACATTTGGCTGATTACAATTAAATAATTTGTTTACTTTAATAGCCTAACATTCGATATGCGCAACGGATCGTAAGCAACTGGCAAATTATGATATTGATATTGACTTTTTCTAGTCTGAAGTCTTGATTACAGAATTTTCTAGAATTGAAATTTAAGCTTTATTTAATTTGAGCATATTTGAAAATAAAATATTATATAAAACTAACGATATAACGAAAATAAAGTAAATAAAGATTAGATTAGATTAGAGATCCACAATTTTTATTTTATTATTAGATTATATCTTCTTTCAGCAAAGTCTTTAAAGTAAAATATATTAGTATATTCAAAATAGATTTATTACAGATGAATATTATATAAACAAATAAAAACTTAGTTCCTTTAGCAAATCATTTGCTAATCTCATTTAAACCAAAACGTTATACAAAAGGCACCATCGCTCAGCTAAAAAAAATCATAACAAAATATCTACAATTTCTCCACAATTTGCCGTTACAAGCAGCTGATAAGAAATTGGAATGGCCTTCGAAAAGCTATACAAACATATTGAATACTTTGGTAAACATTTTTAATTTAATTATTCTAGTAAATTTTATTATAAACAAAGCGACATAACCTTTGTTATAACTATACTGACATACAGAGGGCATACAAAAGTCGCCATTGCCATGACAAATAGTACAAAAACAAAATTTACAATTGCCAAAGCGCTGCAAGCAGCTGATAACTTTCACCTTCACATTGAAATGCGATAAAAAGCTTACAAGTGCGATTGTTGCTGTTAGCTGAAGAGCTAGACACAAATTATCAATGTCAATTTTAGCAATCGAATATATGTGTGTCTTAATATCAAGAAGAGGAAGTACACAACAAAAAGAAAACAAACACCCACAATACATTTTGTTATGTTATTTATTGCTTTGGTATGTGCGCGGCAGTGCCTCAGTGCCTCTGCAATGCCAGAGAGTTCAAGGTGAACCATTTCTAGTTGTTGTTCAATAGTTCACAATACACGTTACACACATTAAATTAATGCACTTTACATTCATCAATTTGCACTTTACCTAAAAATTGAAGGAATATGAATCGATTTTTTATATGCGCGCGTTATCTTTGCACTGTTCAAGACTTTTTCGTTTATTTTTGTTTGTAACGCGACGCACTTAAAAAACCTTTTTGACTATTGAGGATTTCACTGCGAATTTAGCATGCACTACGCATACCAACGTTTGTTTGTTGGTCTTTTGCACTTGCATTTATGGCCGAAATAGTTGAGTTGACGGAATAGAGTGCGACGAGACGTCTTACTCTAACAAAATTTATGTGATATATGTGCAGTGTGACCGAATACTGTAAAGCCAAAAATAATGCGTTGCATTGAAATATCGATAGAATATCGCTGCTAAGTAGCGATTGTATTTGTAACTGACATCGATACTTGTAATTTGAAAGTTTTTATTGCTGATATTCAGATTTTGAATTTTTGGATAGTTAATGGTTATATTGTAATATGTTGATATTAATTTATTTTATATTTCATGAGAACTACTACAAATATGAGTATATAATTTAGTAAATTTATTACAAAGAGAATAATTACCTTTTGCCATTTATAACAGCTATTTATAACGCTTTTTTGAATCACTTTCCATTTCATGATTTTCATTCGCATATTTTCCTTTGATGTGAAGAACTTTTGTAATCAAAAAATATATAGATCTCATCATTTGCACAAATAAATCAACAATTATTAATTTCGTTTTCCTTCACATATGCTCGCAGCTGTTGTATATAATATGTGTTTCACGCATTTCACAATTCTTCTTCCACGTTCGCTCGCACAGTTGCGTATATATGTATACAATACCAATACAATGCTATTTTGTGTTTTGTTTTTACAGGAAGTTTCGTAAGACCACCGAGCGTCTATATATATGTACATATACATATATGTAGTGGTGCCAAGATGCATAAACAAAGAATTGCAACGCAAAGCGGATGATGTGAAGAGCATTCGCTCAATTTTATTCAAATTTCACCACACTCTTTCCACGATCATGCAGCGTTTCACTTGGCGCTCTATCGCTCATTCCGAAAGCTATGCCAAAAAGCTAAAGAAACGAAAAAGAATAGATGAAAAAAGATTCGAAATGCCCGAAATATAAGATCCCTAAAGCTTGACTAGGCCTCTTGAATGGCATAGAATGTTCACCAAAAGACTTTCAGTTGCGAGCGGACCTCTGCACGGAGTGGAACAAAATTGAAAAACTGAAAAGAGTACAGTCCGCGGAAAACATTCAATTAATAGAAAATTCACATACATATATATATACATATCTCTATGTATATATATATACTTTTATAATCTAATTTTCTCATATATATACATATATATATAACCTATATATATTTTCGCCCATGTATTTGTGTACGCGAATGAAATAAGATTTTTCAACTAAAAATAGTGCCTTAATTTAAAATAAAATACAAAAACGACAAAACGACGATTTTTTGCTAACTTTGAAATATTAAATCAATAATTCTTATAATAATACTTATATAAAATAAATAAATGTACACACGCACGCATGTTTGAGTTAAGAGTTTGAATTATAATAAATCATAATTTAATCAATTCAAATCGCAACGGCCAATTTGCATTGACTGTCATACTGAAGGCATTCGTAAGATGACTTTCACGCGAATAAAAACTCTAACATTGCTCGTGTGTACGCTACTGGCACTGAGTTTTCCCGGATATGTGAATTGCGCTAATAAGAAAGGATCACAGCCAGCGGCAGCTGCGGCGGCGGCGGCGGCGCCACCCCTCGAGCCCGAAGCCGTTATTGAGGAGGTCAATGCCAAGCAGTTGGAAAAGCTATTGGCTGACAAGGATTATGTTGCCGTCTTCTGGTGTAAGTACACACACACACACACACGCACACCCTTTGTTGTTGTGTAGTAATGTGCGAGAATTTTGTGATCCGGGCAAACGCACGCTGATGGCCGTGCGCGACTCGAAATAGTAACAGAAGCCATATTATATAAATTTTCTCTAGTGAAAATTCTAAAAATTCGCATACAAGTGAAAATATGTGAAAAATTTCGTTGTACGAAATGTCTTGAGATTTTCATTCGGTTTATTTTTTTTTTTTCTACTTTTTTTTTTTTTTGGTTGCTAGTCTCTGTTCAGTTTTTCTATTTTTCCCTCTAGTGGTTTTCCTTTGCGTTCTGTTTATGAGCAGCAAAACGCTTTTGGCTATGAGAAATTGCCGTCTCTCTGCTTTATTTTAGTGCTGTCTGCTTGCGCTCTCTCTCTCTCTCTCTCTCACTCTCTCTCTCTCTCCCTCTTCCACTCTCTCTCCCTCTCCCTTTCTCGCTGTGTCTTTGGATTCTGTAGCATTTAAGTAAAAAATTGGCCAGTAAATAAGTTAGCCAATGCCCGAGGCCCTCCCAGAGCTTAAATAATTGCCCATTTAGTTTCTATCTAAAAAGTATTTTGTGTGGGTTAAAAAAATAACTAAATAGAATCAAAATAAGCTAATTACAGGCGCATACTTTCTCCATTTCTAAAGGCAATAAAGAAACTTTTATTGCAGCGTTTTTTAGCTTATAAAATTGTATATGTATGAGTACATGTATATATCTATATCCATATCTATATCATTTAAATTGAGCGCTAAAATTTTGCATAAACAAAACGCTCTAATTTAGCTGCTTATAAATAGCTAAACCATAAACATGTTAAATAAGTTTTCCAAACGTTAATCACCTTCGGATTGTGGATATTGTTACGCTTGAAGGAATTCATTTCTGAATATGTGGACGCACAAATTTACGATATATATTTAAATATATGTGTTCATTATTTATCAATGTCGCCAGTTAATACCAAAGAAAATAAACTTGAAATTTCATTTCAATTTTTCCAGAAATTAATTTGTTGACACTGAAAAAAAAAAATTATACTATAAACAAATAAATATGCACACATATATATCTATCTATAAAAAATGTCAATGATATATCTACATATTTAATGTTCAGACAAAGAAACAATGCGAAATACAAATTATTTGTGAAGCCTACGCAAATTTCCATTGCAATTGGCCATCAAAATGAAATTGTTTATTTGTTTTTGCTAAATGCCTATTAATGTTATTGCAATGTGTTGTGAAAACAATGTAAACTGATGGATAGATCGCATATAGCCCAACAAATGCAAATTGCAATCAAATCATAAAATCGAATTCAATCAAATATTACGTATACGTAATATGTAGTTGAGCATCTGTTTCATGTATTTGACGGCCATAAAAAGCGTACACCAAACACACGCACACACAGCAAATGAAGTTCAAGTATTTTATAGATATCGTATATATATATATATTGAACCAATGTAAACTGCTTTTAGCTGCTAAAATTTGGTTATTAAAAACAAAAATTTACTTTTGACTAAGCAAAAGGTTCATAGAAATGTGAATTGTGTACAATGTATTGATATTATATATTGTAGAATATATATAGAGAGAGAAAGGCGTGCAACCACCCATACACACACACACATGCACAGACAGCTCTTTGTGGGTGTGTGTGTGTGTGTGTGTGTGTGTGCTGTAATTCATTTCCCTAATAGTTGCTGCATAAATTTTTATGAATTAATTTAGCCAAATGCTGTTGGCAGTTGTGCACACATTAATAGCTAACCATATAGGCGACATATATAGCATATATACAATTTATATATATTTATGCATATATGTATATCTGTCATGTACTATATAGCAATGCAATTTCATTTGCTGCTGCTGTCATTTCATTCACTAGCCAGGTCGCCCAGCCTGCCCAGAATGCCATTTGCGGTTCTTGCTCTCTCTGACTATATATATATATGTGTGTGTATGTATGAGGGGCGCTGGGGCGTGGCTAATGGCATTACCGATGATGATGCATCCCTTTTAGCGCTATGAATAATCGCCGCAGCATTTGGCGTCACACGCGACAGTTGCTAGCCGTCAATTCCCGTTGGTATCTTCATAAAGATTTCTATAAAAACAACAACAGCAACAACAACAATAAATCATAGAAATTTCTATATACTTAGACAATTGTTTTTAATTGCTTTGCAGATGCGCGTAGCTGTGTTACCTGTGATAAGGTTTTAGCGGAGCTCGAAAAAATCGACGATGACACCGACTCGTTCGGTGTGGACTTTGTGAAAATTAACGACAAACGACTAGCAAAACAATATGGCATCAAAACCTTCCCAGCGCTCACCTACTTCAGGTAAAACAGCAAAGAGTGAGAGCAACATCAACAACAACAACAACTGACTAAACATACCCTGTACTATTTAGAGAGAAGGAGCCCATCATCTACGATGGCGACCTGATGGATGAGGAGGGCGTGCTCGATTTTCTAACATCACTCGAGGCCATGGATTTGCCCGATCGCATCGAGGAGGTCAATGCCAAGATATTGCAAAAGATTATCGAGGATACAGATTTTGTTGCCGTTCTCTTCTGTGAGTACAAGTTCAAGTTGTTTGCCATTGCTCTATCTATCTATCTATCTCTCTCTATCTACAAACTATTCTTTGTTCGATTATCTATATATATATATATATATATCTATTATCTATATCTATATTTTGATTATGTTTACTTCAAAGCAGTTGCAGTTTTTAGCGTTAAAAGAAATTTGAATTGAGTTACAATTTACAAAACAAAAGAAATGAAAGTTAAGCTCTCTTGTGACTAAAAAAAAAAAAAAATTCATACAACTTAGGTACAACAAAACTTGAATACAATCTTACCTAGTTATACAAAAACTATTATCTATATATATTGAGATATTTAAATAATTAAATATTAACTAAACTGTTCTATTTTGTAACTAACCCAAGTACGGCGGCAACTTAACTCTATATCTATCTCTCAACTATATATATAAATTTATATATATTTATTTATGTAACGCCTCACACACATATCTCGAAGCATATATAGTATATTTGCAATATATTTGTATGCGTTATATCTATTTAAACGACAACAGGTCCCGATCATGAAACATGCCCACCCCGGGTAATGGGTAAGTTTGTGCATATGTTAATGGGTTGTCCTTTGACTTGTGAATTTCCCGTCACTTCAGTCCAATTAAACAAAATGCAAAATGTAGAAACCCAATAAAAACATTGATTAAACAAAACTTGTACAATTCATCGTAATTTTCCAAATATTTTCCCAAAAACAAAATCAACCAAATTAAAAGTAAACTAAAACATATGCACAACAAAAACCTCGCCTGTAAATATGTAAATATGTTTAACACCTATTCATCTCCCCTTCCACCTTCTGTATATATGTATAAATGTGTGTATATATGTATATATAAATGTACTTATATCTGCCTCTACCTAATCTGATGGTTATAACTCTTAATTTCCTTTGAGCGAAACGAGCAAGCTGGTTGGTTTTTTAGTTAGTTTTGGGAATCGAATTTAATGTATACAAAATATGAGATATAAATTATTTTATACGTTAAATAAGATACCACCCCCCCCAAAAAAAAAAATAATAATAATAATAATAAAAATAAATAAATATTTAAAAAATAATCATTCAAAATCTTTTTAAAGAAATTCAATAGATATTTAAAAAAATAAAATAAAATAAAATAGCTCACAAGTAACTGCTATTCTTTACCCTCTCAATCGCTCTCGCTCTACTGAAGACCCTTCGGTTATCGTCAGTTGAGTGCATTAAGCATAACCCTCTCATGCATACCAATACATTCAAAGAACTCCACTAATCGATCGTGACAAAGCCAATAAAAGCTTCCGATTGCAAATGAACTCGTAGAGGAACCGACGCGATCTAAGTTTTTTCTCAAAGTGTGAATGAAAGAGACAAATATGCAGACAGAGACAAGCGATATTAGCAATTTTAATTAGATATTCGATTAAATTAATTTATAAATATTATTATTATAAATTTATTTTATTTTATTTTTTTTTATACATATATTATTATTATACTATTTTTTAGTAAATAGGGATATATTTTATTCAGCTCAAAATCTTTGAAGAAATATGTTAAATTTTGGTTTATTAAATTGCCTTAGCTTGCGTTATTTGTAGACTGCTATTTAATACATAAAACAAAATACACAAACTTTAAGTATATAAGTTTAAGTCTAAATAATTTATTTTATTTACTATAAAAAACTTGTTTTTTTTTTTTATTTATTTTTTTTTTATATATATATATTATATATTGTAAAAAAAAAAAAATTACAAAATTATTTTTAAAATGCTAAAAGACGACCTTTATTTACTAATTTGAGTGTTTAAAATAGATTTAAGACGCGAATATATTTAGTCTAAATGTAGCTGTAACTATAAAACTGTAAGAATAGATAGCTCATAGAAAACCATTTATATCCATAGATAATAGGTAATGACATATGTAACTGGCTAACCAATTGGCTGATTTCAATTGTGCTATCGCCGCACGCAGACAGAAAGCAAAAAACAAACAAGAAAATAACGTCAAATATTACGTATACGTATAAAAATAAGATTCCAACAACAAGTGAACGCAACAGCAGCAGCATTTACACACATGCACGTCTGGGTTCAGCGCCAGACCATGTTTCTGGCCCGGCGGGCGCAACCAGCCCTAACCGAGTTGTTATAGGAAAAAACAAAAAAGAACACATCAAGTGCAGGAATAAGTCAATATAGCAAATAGAGAAACTAACTTATAATTGTTGTTGGTCTTATGAATAAAACTCGCTATTTGTGATATAATTGTTTCTTGGGTAACCGAGAGATCAGAGATCAGTGATCAGAGCTACTTATATAGACATGATAGCCCCTATAGTGGGAAATAAGTTTTGGCCACAGTCAATATGGACAAAGGAAATGAACTAATTCGTAAAAAGCACATCAACTTATTAGCTCTTAAGAGCAAGTGAGAGGGCGCATAAAGTGAGTGAGAGGCTGATAGAAGCAGAGGGAGTTGGGGCAAGGGCGCGACAACAAAGTGTAGATCAGCTTTATTTATTTGTTTTTGCAGCAAGTTCTTTTTTTATTTCTTTTCTTTTCCTTTCCTTTTTTTTTTTTTATTTTTTCAACACATCAGAAGCCACCTACAATTTTGGTTTTATAAATAGAAATTCAAGCAGTTGGTTGGCCAACAAAATGATTTTTCGCTGTTGCTGTTGCTGCTGCTGTTATTTTTGCTCAATTTTCAAACAACTAACTGTATACACACGCACTCACATAGTCTATGTGTATGTATAGATCAATAGTACGTGTATTTTTATAAAGCGCAGACAGCGCACAAAGGTCTTCGCATAGAGATGATCAGCATGTAGGTGAGACAAGAACAACATATTTTTGCTACCTTCCTCTGTTCTGCATCCATTGTTCTGCCTTTTGTCGAAAATTTCTAAGCGCATCGACAAACGCACATTTATTTTTTTTTTCTACTATTTCTACTTCTTTTTCTGTGGTAGGGATTTTTTTAATACCCTGTAAATAAGTTTTTGTTGTTATTTCGTTTGATTCATTAAAGAAGAAAATATATTTTTGTTTTATATTTATGTCGACTAGAATATAAATTAAAATATGTATATGTGTATAAAAACTAGATAAACTTATTTATTTATTTTTAAAGCTAAAAGTCAGAAGAACTGGAACATCAAAACACACTCAATTCTCTATTAACTTTTGCAGAGTATCTGAATGTCTATCACATTTAGCTGCCCGACTAGTTTTGTAGTTTTGTTTGTGTTGTTGTTTTTTTTTTTTTTTTTCATAGAACTGCAGACAGACAGCCGTTTTAATTGCTTTTGCATACAGCAATACATCAAGATGCTGGCACACACGAGCCGGCATGGATGTCATTATGGGCAAGCTCTTTAGTTGCAGCCAAATGCAATTTTACATAATAAATATATATGTATTTATTTATATATGTATATAATATATATGTATATATTTAGTGGTGTGTGCGCTAGCCGACTGACTTGCACTATTTTTAGTCTCTGCCCAAGTCTGCGGCAAATTCATTAATGCTGTTTTGCATACTAAATGCAATTTCAGCGAGAAACCTGTCAAAAGTATAAACATAAACATGTTTAGTCACTGGCGCTGCACAGTAATAAATTGTGTGTGTGTGAGTGGGTGGGTGTATGTGTATGTGTGTCTGTGTGTGTGACTGTGGGCATTTTGATATATATATTTATATGTGTCTGTGGCCTTGCCACCTTGGCGACACCCACTCACCCGGTCAGAATAGCTGCTCCATGGCAAATATATTTATTGTCTCAAAAAAAAAAAGAATTTTTCGTAAATTTTCTCGAGGTATTTTATTTAATGAAAACATTTTTATAGCTATTTAAAGCAATTAAAATTAAATTAAAAAATATCGAATAAGTATAAAACAGCAAAATAATTTAATTAATTATAATATAATTTTTTATTTTTTATTTTAAAATAAAATAAGTCAACATAACAAAAATTTCTACAAAATAAAAATTAATTAAAAATTGAAAAAAGAATAATAAATAACAAATTTTTTTTACAAATTTTAACATTAAATAAATAAAGTATTTAAAACGTATTTTAAAAAAAATTTAAAAACTATACAAAATAAAAATTGATTCAATAATAAATATTGTAAATTATATTCAAGTGAAAAGTTTTCAAGACACTTGTCAAATAAATACATTTAAATTGTAATATAGAATATTACGTATACGCAGCGAGTGACAAAGGCAAAAGCTTGCTAAACACGAACCCATAGAAAAATTAATAAATTTAGCAAAGCAAATGACAAAGTAGAAAGAGCGAGCTTTTATACAGTTAAGGAGAGAACTGCTCGATATATATAAGTATATATATGTAGGTATCTGTATTTGTATACATACACATATAGAATTATATTTATGGTCTAATAGGTGAGCTCTTTGAAATCGTCTTCAATTGTTTTGTAGTATGCATTTCCGCTGCGTTTTGCAACAGGTTGTATACAAAGATTTCTGTAATTATTTTCCTTTCTTTGTACATTTCCCCTTTTTTTTTTTTTTTTTTTTTTTTTTTTGTAAACAAACGAAATCGAATCGTTTGGATAGGAAAATAATGAGATTTTCAATACCATTCGCTGGCAAACGATAAACGATCCAAATACGATTCCCAATTGCTCGTAGCTCAAGACTATTTCCATTCTATTCTTGTATTGTTGCATGCCCACCTGAACGTTAAATCTATTTTGTACTCAATTAACCTTAACCTTACAGCGCTGCACACGATATAAATACGTTACTTATGTGCCATTAAATAAGCATAGCATAGCCCCACCCATATGCTACACTCTACCCCACAGTGTGTCCCTACCCTTACCATCTATACAGCACGCAAAAAACTAAACAATTTGTTGTGCTACAATAAAAAAAAAAATGAAACAATCAAACACAAACCAAACCAAAGCCCAAGTCTAATGTCAACCTGTGCTGGCGTTGATATTGCTGTTAAATTTTGTCTAATCTTTGCACATCCATCCGTTCATCAGATAAACAGCAGTGCCGCAAGTGCGCCAAGGCCTTGCAAGAATTGGAGAATATCGACGACGAGGCCGATCAGCTGGGCATCGGCTTTGTCAAGATCCACGACGAGGCATTGGCCGATGAATACAATTTGGGCAATCTGCCGGTATTGGTCTACTATCGCCATCAGACACCAATTATTTATGAAGGTATAGCATGCCCAGATCCCTAAACGAGTTGCACCCCTTACAGATATACGTATCGAAAATCGATTGTTTTGTAATTATCGAAACTGTGTCCAGGTGAACTGCAGCGCGAGGAGGACGTCTTGGAGTGGTTGGTGCAAAATAAATCGACCGGCGATGAGGATGATGTGATCGAGGATGTTACATCCAAGACCTTGTCGACGCTCATTAGCAATATCGATAATTTGGTTGTACTATTCTGTACGTATACATGGTATATATATATATATGTACTCGCTCGATAATTAGATCGATCAACGTCTCTGTAGATGATCACGGCAATGATGATTCGATGACCGTATTGGAAGAGCTAGAACAAATCGACGATGACTGCGACAAGCATGGCATACAATTCGTGAAAATCGATGATGCCAAGGCCGCAGCCGATTACGGAATCGATTCGGTACGGAATACAATAACGAAATTCATCTAACTGCAGTTCCAATCAATGTGTATGATCTATCCATGTAGATTCCGGCAATTGTATATTTTGAAAAAGAAATTCCAAACGTTTACGATGGCGATCTCATGGATGAGGAACAGATACTTAAATGGTTGTTGGGTCAGTTGGAACATGATGAGATCGAGGATGTCACCGATGAAATGCTCGATACAATGATTAAGGAAGGACGCGTCATTGCAGTGCTGTTCTGTAAATATATCTACCCCATGATTTAGGCGCTGTTGTTGTTCTTACATCTGTTGTTGTTGTTTGGTTGTTGTTTTCCAGACGACAACAACGACAAGAAATCCCAAAAGGTGCTTGAAGAGCTCGAGAACATTGACGATGAATGCGACGCGCTGGGCATTACTTTCGTGAAAATCGACAATCCCGAGGAGGCCGTCGAATATGGCATCAATAAAGTTCCTAAACTGATATACTTTGAAAAAGGCATTCCAACTATATACGAAGGCAATCTGGAGGATGAGGAGAAACTATTAAAATGGCTAGAAGAACAAACTAGTTCCGATCAAATCGAAGACATTACCGATGAAATGTTGGATTTGATCATTGAGAAAATGCCACACGTAGCCGTGCTCTTCTGTAAGTGATTTCTGGGCCACAAAACCCAGCAGAAACCCATCCAAAATTAAAGAAAATCCCATGCCGGATATATCCCATGCAGCTGTAGATAATGTAACATAGATCGTCTTATATGTCTATATATATTTATATGTTGTATTCCTTGTAAAACCGGGGTGTGTCTGAGTGTCTGGCGTTTAATCAAAAGCTGCTCAATGTGCTTATAAAACTTAATTCATTTCATCAAAAGCGCTTCAACTAATCATAATACATTAATATGAAAAAAAAAGGAAGAAGTTTGAGGACCTCTTATAGTCATATACATATATATTTTATTATATATCGAAATCATAGTATGAAAACAGTTGCAAGTTGAGAGCTTTTCAGTAGTCACTTTAGAAGGCCTGTGATGCGTTTACCTTTCTTATTTTCAATCTCTGTCATTCGATAACCAATATAATCGATAACACAATTCTTCGCAGATGACAAAGATCAAAAGAAATCACAGAAAATCCTGGCCGAATTGGAAAACATTGATGATGAATGCGATCAAAATGATATCGCGTTCGTTAAAATCGATGACGACAAGGAGGCCAAGGAATGGGGCATCGATGAGATACCATCGATAGTGCTGTTTGAGCGCGGCATTCCCCACATCTATGAGGGTGATCTGATGAAGGAGGATGAATTGCTTGGCTGGCTGGTGCATCAGAAGCGTTATTCTGAAATTCCCGAGGTTACCGATGAGATGAAGGACAAACTGGTCGAGAACACCGAACATCTGGCGGTCATTTTCTGTAAGTTCAGATAAAATCTTGTGCTCTATAAAATTTAATATAAATATAATTTGCAGACGATAAGGATGACAAACAGGATATGCGCATTCTGAACGAATTGGAGAACATTGACGATGAGCTCGAAAAGGAGGGCATTGTCATTGTGCGCATCGATAACGCCGCCGAGGCCAAGGAATATGGTCTCGATCATTTGCCAGCATTGATTTACTTTGAGAACAAGATACCGGCTCTGTACGAAGGTGATCTGATGAACGAGGACGAGGTCCTCGAATGGTTGTTGGTGCAGAAGAAAACAGCTACCATCGAGGAGGTCACCGACGAGATTCTTGTCAACTTGATCAATGAGCATGAATATGTTGTCGTATTCTTTACGGGTCCCTGCGAACCGGGCGAGACCTGCGATCGCACACTGAACGCATTGGAGAGCATCGACGATGAACTCGATGAGGCTGGCATCATATTTGTTACCACTGAGGATACCGCCATCGCTAAGAAATATAATGTCAAATCCTATCCACGATTGGTGTTCTTCAGAAATCGTGATCCATTGCACTTCACTGGCGATTTGGATGACGAGGACGAGGTTCTGGCCTGGATCACCGATGATGAAACCCTCGAAATTCCCGGCAAAATCGAGGAGGTCAATGTAAAAATGTTGGATAAGATATTGGCTGAAAACGATCATGTCGTTGTGTTCTTCTGTAAGTTTTCAGAATCTTAACAGAAAACCTAAAAAATATATTCATATTTAACTTTTATACATCTGACAGACGCCGAGGGCGATAAGAAGGCGCAAAAGATCCTCAACGAACTGGAGAACATCGATGACGAATGCGAGGAAAAAGACATCGACTTTGTAAAGACATCCGATGACGATATTGATAAGGAATACGATCTGCCCGGTTTGCCGGCGCTTGCATTTTATAGACATAAGTTTAGAACAATTTACACCGGTAAGAAAAACATAAAATTGATGATGGATATAAATGTAATGAGAAATTTGATTTACAGGTGATCTGATGAAGGAGGAGGAAATTCTGGAATGGGTTATCGATTTGCATGAATCGACTGCTGATGTTATCGAATCGGTTGATCGCAAAACGCTGCAAGTTTTGATCAACGACGTTGAACATCTAGCCGTTTTCTTCTGTGCGTTGAGTCTATATATAGGAGAATGTAATTAGAGTTTAATCGCAATAATCTATCCGCTTTCACAGACGATGATGAGTGTGAGACGTGCCCTGGCATTTTGGAAGAATTGGAGAATATTGATGACGATACCGATAAGCATGGCATTCAGTTTGTCAAATCGAATGACGTGAAGCTAGCCCATGAAATTGGCATTTTCGCATTCCCAGCCCTAGTCTACTACGAGACGGGCGTTCCGATCATGTATGATGGTAAGCTGCCCTCAATATTACTTGCTTGCTAATTGAAATCTAAATTGAATTGTCTTCCATCCTATAGGTAATCTCAAAAATGAAAATCGTGTGCTGCAGTGGTTAATCAATCAAAAGAGTAAGCGTTCATATTTCAAATGTTTTCTCCGCTTTCTAACTCACGCTCATAAGCCAAACATTCAATACCAAATCAGTTGAGCCCACAAGATCTTGGCCAAACTTCAAACTTACAAAAAAACAAAAATCTCTATATATATAGAGATTGCATATCAAATCCAAGCAAGTCGGATATATCCAAATATCATTCTACCCGTTTATAGCCATTTGTAAAATGACAAAAACGTAATGAATACTTTCGATATATATACGATATATAATAGGCAACGATGACGATGGAAGTGATGAGAAAATTGTTAAAATGAGCTATCCAAAAGAAAGTGATGTGGATAAAAGAGAAAGACTAAAGCGTCTGCAACAAACGATACGAAAACAAAGATTACGAAAACATTCACGCGATGACGATGATAATGGCGATGACGATGACAATAACGATGACGATGACGATAACGACGAAGATAACGATGACGATGACGACGACGATGATGATGACAACAATAATGACAATGACGATGATGAAGATGACGATAATGACAATGACAATGACGACGAAGATGATGACGATGAGGATAATGATGATGAAGACGAAGACGAAGACGAAGATGAAGACGATGATGAGAAAGACAATGACAAAGACGATGAAGACGATGACGACGACGACAATGATGAAGATGACGATGACAATGATGACGACAATAATGATAATGAGGATGAAGATGACGATGAAAATGATAAAGACAATGATGATGATGAAGACAATGATGATGATGATGAAGAGGAAGATGAAGATGAGGACAAAAATGATGACGATGAAGACGAAGACGATGATGATGAAGATGAAGACGATGATGAAAATGATAACGATAAAGACAATGAAGATGACGATGACAATGAAGATAATGATGACAATGATGATGATGACAATGATGATGATGACGAAGATGATGATGATGATGATGATGATAATGACAATAACAAAGACAATGACAATGACGACGACGAGGACGAAGACGAAAACGATGATGATGAGGACAATGACGAAGATGACGAGGATAATGACGATGACGATGACATACAGAACGATGACGACGATGACGATGAAGATAATGATAAAGATAACGACGATGATGACGAAGATGAAGACGAAGACGATAATGATAATGATAACGACGACGATGACGATGACGATAAAGATAACGATAACGATGACGAAGAAGAAGATATCAGCAAGCAAGTCTATAAGCACAGAGCTAAAGGCAGAACGATACATCGGCTTTCTGATCTATGCTCGGGTCATGTTATAGATGAAATAGGTAATACGTGAATGTGAGTTGCCATTGCCGCACTAACTGAAGTTGTTTTTCTTGTTGTCAACTCCTCTCCCTGAACTGCCAAACCAAATACAATTCCGACCATAATATACACTACAGTATTTTCATTGTCTATCTACAGACTTGGGTAAAAGGATTACAAGAAATGCATTTCATAAAGGTAACAAAAGCGATATATACATATATATAAATGTGTGTTGCGCTTAGCTTTTGTGGTAAAGCAATTCATCTACACCCATATGAAAATACGAAACATATAAAAATATGAATATATGATATACAAACACACATCCACACACACAGTCTAAAAGCCACGTCAATGTTTGCCCTCGTGAATGTATTAAAGACCTATCCAATGCTTCGATTTACCTTCAATACTGTTTGAAGTCCCCCCAACCTATACCTTCTCTTTCTCTCTCTTTCGCTCTCTCTTTAAAATAAAGTAAACAAATTTGGTAAATAAAAAATTAAAAATAATGCAAAAATCATAGCTGACACAATGTTTGACAATATATATAAAAAAAAAAAAAACATATATTATTTTTTTTATATTATACAAAAAAAAAAAAAAAATAAAATCAAGCAAATGTTAATAACTTAATTATTTGGATTATTGATATAATTATTATGTTCTCTTAATACTTAAGCAAACGTTTTTATTTGTTATAATTTATGAATAATAACCGAATCGAACCTGCTCTGCTAAATAATTATAAACAAACGAAAAACCAAAAGCTAAAGAAAGAAAAAAATAATAATAATATATATAATTAAATATATATTATATAGATGTAAAAAAAAAATGTAAAATGTACAAAACTCAATTAGAACTTAATACCTGTACAGTCAGCATCAAAAGCATTTTGTCAGTTATTAGTTAAAAAGCAAAAATTAATATTGAAAAAACGATTTTTGATCAAAAACAAAAAATAAACAAAAATTAATTTTGTTCATTCATAAAGCACGCTTAATTACTTTAGAAAGAAATCAAAGATTGAAGAAAAAGAAAAATCGTACTAACTGCTCTTTGTGGTAATTTCGAAGGTGTTGAAAGAATGATAAACAAAAAATGATAAAACGATTTTTTAAATAAAAGCAACTTTTATGACTTTTATTTCGTAATTTCTCGCCTACTCTTTATGCACTTTTGTTTACTTTTTTCTTGTTAGTGATTTCTTTAAATTAAAAAAAAAAAAAAAAAAAAAAAAAAAAACAAAATTAAGAACTAAACAATCTGACAAAATGTTTTTGTTTGTTTGCTCACAACAGATGACGAATGTTTCTATGTTGGATTGGGTCACGACGGCCATTCAGCTAAGCGCGGCAACAGTTATGTGCCCAACGATTACAAACCATTCCAATGCTGTCCAACCAAATTGGAGAAGTCAACGAAAGTTCCTAAAATGACCGCCCAGCGCATCGGACACAGTGATGGTGAATCGAGCAAGCGTCAAGGTGGCAACTTCAAATTTGCCAGCACAACCAACCAAAAACCATCGAGCCAAACACCAAGCAAACCCAAGCCCAATGCCAATGCCCAAAAGCCGACACAAAAGCGCAAGGTTATCAACAACAATGATGATGATGATGACGACAACGATGATGATGATGATGACGATGATGATGTGCCATTGGTGAAAGTGTCGTATGCCAACAAACGATCTGGCCAATCGAACAAGAAGCCCCTGAACAAAGTGCAAGATCTGGATGATGAATCCGTTGAGGTGGAGAAACCAAAGAAATCGTCGAAAAAGTCTGGCAATAAGCTGAACGTTAAAACCGGTACGTCGCGTGACAATACGAAACCAAAATCCCACTTTCCAAATTGATAGACACAAAAAACATACATATATCAATAGACAGAGATTGTTCAGTTTTGAAACCCATATATTTATAAATATATACACCCATCCAAAAAAACACAAAACAGACATATCTGCTTGTAATTTGATTTGTATATTTCTCTCTCTCTTTTTTTTTCTCTTTTTTTTTTGTGTCTTGCAGGCATTAATTTTTTCCAAAATCGACTAAAAAATTTGTATGACCTCATTTTTCAGGATATCTCTCTGTGGGAGTAAGGCAACAATATTAGATAAAACAAAAACAATTTAAGAACACGCACAAAAACTGTTTGTATGAATGTAAAATTAAAGTAACAAACGAAACTTTGAAATGCAATGTAAAAACAAAAACAAAAACTAAAAAAAAAAGCTAAGTAAAGCAAAGCACGCATAAGTCTAAGATCTAAGAGCGCTGTAAAAATAAAAAATAAAACCTTGAACAACAGGTTACTTTATATATATATATATATATGCATATATATAACCCTATCTGAACGATCAAGTGTAATGTGTGATTTTTGTTTGTGATTGTCATGATTATCCTAATTTGTAAGTGCATCCAAAAAGACAACAACAACAACAACAACAACTTAACTCAGCTGGTTGTGTAACAAAGAGCAAACACATATGTATATACATACTAAAAACATAAACATTTTAGCTACACTGCCCAACAAGAACAACAATGCAGAAAGAAAAGTGAGTTGGATGCACAATGCGTTACTTTAATATATTTAATACCCGAATATTACTCATACGACATGTTAAACGAATTTTTCTAGTGAAGAACTGTCACTCATTTTGTTCCACGCGTGCTGCAGCGTCAACTGCAGTGGAAATACCAATTGGCCAGCTCGCTGATCAAGTTGGCCACGCAACTCACAAATAAACAGAAAATTTTAAACTCTTTTTGGTACTTTTGCACTTTTGCGCTAATTAACTTTTTTCTCTGTTGAGGCTGCCTGTCTAAATAAACAATTTTGTTGCATTTTTTTGTCAATGGATTTCGATTTCAATTGCGCCAAACAACAAACTTTGTTCAAATTTCAAAGCAATTACTGCAACAACTTAACTTACTATTAACACTAAAAAAAAAACAACTATTAACATTATTCAAAAAATCAAAAAAAAAAAAAGGTCTAGATTGTCAATAACTGAGCATAAACTACTTTTGATACTACTTACTACTTTTATTATTTTTTTGTTACGATATATACAATTTACATTTATGTATGTAGCTAGCGTATAAAAAAAAAAATACAAAACAAATGCTAAATATTTTCTAAACAATTTTACAATGAGAGAGAAGCGCAAATACAACTACTATATACTATACTATATATTTACATAGCTAACTATAAAAAGCCTGAACTAAACTACTTTGTTGTCTAATTCAATATACTCGCTTCTATGCATCATACAGTTCGTATACTTAATATAAATATACAAGCAAAATGGCTGTCAAATCCGTTGCGACATTTTGCAACACTGGCCTCGCAAACCGCTTTCTCTTTCACTGTCTTCTTTTCTCTGCTCTGGCTCACTTTTAGCCAATTTGTTATCGATATTTGCAACACAAACAAAAGAAAAAGGAAACGAAAAGAAAAACTTATCTAATTTTATTTTTTAAGCTTTATAAAACTATTTATATATTTGTTGTTGAACAGCAGTTGTAAAGATGAACACAAAAATTATTGAGAAAAAAAAAAAACTCAAGCAAAATGTGTATTTTGTTAAAGTTTTTATGAACTCTTTTTAAACTATTTATATGTAAAAATCACACCCACAAACTTTTGTAAAATTTAATAGCGAAAAACTGAAACAATTGTAAATTGCAAATGAATAAAAAAATAAACCAAAATTTATTTAGTTTTCTAAGCGTTCGCACAAATACAAAACAAAAAAAAAAAGAAAATAGAATTTATCATGTTTTGTTTGGTTTTCGTATATCGATTGCGGTAATTATTCATCAGTTATATATAGATCTGAAAACAGATATGTAAAAATTTGTTTAAGATTTTGCATTATTTTTAGTCAAATTGTCAGCCAAATGAAAAATATTGCCTCCAGTTGCCACAAATATTGGCACAATGCCCAATTGTTATAGAGAGAGGAAAAAAAGCAACAAGAAAAACAAAACCAAGAATTATTAATTTTGTTTATAAAGAGAAAACAATGAAAAGAACTTTTGATTGATTGACCAACTGCAGCGAACAGGTATGTGCGCAACTGAAACCGAAAAAAAATAAAAAAATAAAAATTTAATGCCAAAACAAAAAAATTGTCAAAAATATTTAACTAACAATTCGTTTGCCATGCAGGTAATTTGGAGAGTAACGAAGAGGTATTCAATTGGATATTGGAACAGAAGGCCGATCAAAGCATTGAGCTTATAAACCGCGATCAACTAATTGAATATATAGCCACCAAAGACTTTTTAGCGGTTGTCTTCTGTAAGTATGCATAAGGTAAACCTAAGCATAAACCAAACTGAATAAAAATATCAATAAATAAATATAGATATCAATATATACATATGTACTTTAGTATTTTTTTTTTTTTTTTTGCGCGCCCACTAAAAACTGTAACTGCCCAACAAAAGTTGTTTAAGAATTTCTCAATTTTATTTAGGTATATTTTCTCATTTATGAAACGTTTATACTTCTCCCATATGTCTTGCAGATAAAGAGGATGATCCGGACTCGCCGCGCGTGCTGCGCCACATTGAACTGATCGACGATGAGGCTGCCGAATATGGCATTTATATAGTCAAAATGCACGACAAGCTGATGGCCAAGAAATATGGCTATAGAAATCCGCCCGGTTTGACCTATTTCCGCAAGGGCAAATATATCAACTACGATGGCGACATCGATGACGAAGAGGAGATCCTCGACTGGCTGACAAGTCCTGCGAACATGGAAATGACCGATCACATCGAGCAGGTCAATCGGAAAATGTTTGAGAAAATACGCAAAAATTCCGATTATGTTGCCGTCATATTCTGTAAGCCGCTCAAACTCCATAGAGTTTTGGCATATTTGGGAATTACTTCTCTTTTATATACCCATCACAGACAGCGACGAGTGCAAGCAGTGTCCACGCGTCCTGGCCGAGGTGGAGCACATCGATGATGATGCCGACAAGGCTGGCATTGACTTTGTCAAAATCGACGACAAGCAAATGGCCAAGGAATATGGAGTCTTCGCACTGCCCGCGATTGTGTTCTTTAAGCCCACCTCCAAGGAGCCAGTTATATACGCCGGTTAATATCAGAAGAAACAGTGATGGACAAACTTCAGTTATTGAAATTGTAAATTCTTGTTTGCAGGTGATCTTTATGAAGAAGAACAGATCCTATCTTGGTTACTTACGCAAAAGGATCCAAGTGGAGATGTTATTGAAGATCTCGAAGGCGAAAGACTTGTTCAATTAATCGAAGAGTCTGGCTCCATTGCCGTCTATTTCTGTAAGTTCAATACAACCAAAACGTCTGATATATTTAACAAATCTAGCTAATTACGAGGTGTGTTCGAAATTTGTGAATTTTTAGGATTTTTTTTAAAGATTTTGGTATATTTTTGAGATATGCGTTGATTGCAGCTTCATTGCCTTTTATTCCATATAAATTTGATACAGAGATTCTAGAATTTGGCTTCACTTCGAGCTCAAGCAGAACAGCTGTTCAATTGATGGATCATGCAAAATGATCGAATTTGTTGGCACTTGAAAATTTAATATAAGTTAGTCTATGCATATAAAAACATAAAAAATATAAATTATTGTTTATATCCGCAGAATTTTTATATTTTTTTAATGAATTTATGATTTTAAAAAAAATTATATTGGTATTAAAAGCAATACAACTTTAGTGAACTCCAATCTGAAGCCTAAGAATACAAAAATGAATTTTTAACTGTAAAAAATATTAAGTTATTGAGTATTGAATCTCAGCCATTAAAATTTCAAAGTACTCAAAGAATTCTCTTCTCTAAAGAAGCATTCCATAAAGTGCAGCGTGAACTTCTCGTGCCTTATTCAACCAACAGAAGACTCAAATTCACTAAATTTAAATTGAATTTCCCATTCAATCATCCATTCAATCAAAAATTCAAATTCACATTATTTCTCGAACAAACCTCGTATTAGAAACCCCCCAAAAAAAGTAGAAAGTTTGTTAAGTCTATCAAACGTTTTACAGCTGCAAGCGGTTTGGTGACATAAAACTATGCTCAAGTACAAGTCAAGTAATCAATTTTCCATAGCATACTTTGCAGCGCATTTAATGTTGTTAACGTCTCGCATTTTGTCACATTTGTCTTAAGTCAAGTACTTGGTATATTTTATGCTCACTCTTTTGCGCAAACAGTTTGCAGTCAATATGTGAATCACATCTTTAGGTCTTTATTATTTAAGCTCTTATTTATCTATATACAAATTTGATCAGCGCTAAAATGTATCTAACCAACAAGACTTTTTACCACATTTATATATTTCTATCAAAAAATATTTGAACAAAAAATACTGCACAAAAAAAAAAAACAACAAATCACATACTGTAGGGAATAAGACCAAATGCGATATTTGCAATTCGAAAGCAGCGCGCAAGGCGCGTCTGAAAAAGGAGCGCGAACAGCATCAACAGGATGGCGGGTCAGCTAGTGCGGCCGCCGCCTTTGGCAGCGATCCAGAGGCAACTGCTGCGGCTGCCGAGGCAGGTGCTGCTGCTGCTGGTGGTGCTGGTGGTGAGGGTGGAGCAACGGATGCTGCCGCTGCAGCGGGCAAACATGAAGATGGTAGCGCACCCAAACGTGACCAAACAATTTAATCAAATGGAATGAGTCCAAGAATGTTTAACCAACGCACAAAAACACCCAGCACACCTACACCTATACCAATGAACACCTGTACACACGCACACATACACACACACATGTATATACATACACCTGTGAGAATGTCTTACCCAAAAACAAAAAACAAGAAATTTGCTGTAGCGCACCTTCACTCCAAGCACACACAAAAACACAAACACACACACACTCTCTCTTCTTCTCTGTCTTTCTCTAGCTTTCTCTCTCACACTCTCTAAATGTGTCTAGCTGTGCTATCTTCTTACACATGTATATATACTCTATGTGCCTTTTTATACACACATACACACAAACACACAAAGTTGTTGAACCCGTGCTTAGTTTCTGTGTAGTTTGCTTGCTCGTAGTGTGTTCTTTGTATATTATATACCTTGCCACGCCCCTTATGTACCCTTAAAAACCTTCTGTTGTTTAGTGTGCACACAATTTCTTATAATATGCATATTCCTCCTTGTGAAAAAAACGAAACAAACCTCTCTTAGATGCCGATGGCTGTGAGCAGTGCACCAAAGTCTTGGAGGAGCTGGAGAATATAGACGATGATTGCGATAAGCATGGCATCACATTTGTGAAAACTCGCGATTTCTCTGTGGCGGACGGCTATGGAGTGCACGAGTATCCGGCGCTAGTTTACTTCGAAGGCGGCATACCCAATGTATTTGAAGGTAAGGGTAAAAAAAAAAAAAACCTCACCTGAAACCCAGTCACCTATCTGTTTAACTACCTTCAGGTGAGCTCAGCGAGGAGGAGGAAGTTCTACAGTGGCTTATAACACAGAAAACTGAGGATCGCATTGAGCTGATAACACGTCAAATGCTCGAGACTATGGTCGAAGAGACGCAATATTTAGCTGTTTATTTCTGTAAGTATATGAACTCTATAGACGATGACACTTAACCAAATCCTATCATAATCTCATATAATATCAATTATATATCATTATATACCCTGGCACTCCACCACCAAATGCACCACTGCACCACTGCACCAAATGCACCACAACACAAAACACCACCACCACAACCAATCCAAATATTCCATATATATATACACACATATATATTCGTGTGTGTATGTGTATATTCCAATTCAATATCCGTAACGCCGCAGTGCCGGCTGAGCGCAAGGGCAAGCCTCCCGCTTACTGTCGAAGTTTCTGCTCACCCTCTAGTCTTAAAGAAAGCAACCTGACCACAACCAAATACTCATCCAGCCAATTCGTACAAAGCTACATTTCGCGCAAAAGAAAACGTATCCAAAAGCAAGGTATTCCGTATTCAAATCGTGCCAAAGCCCAACGAATTATAAACGAATTTTTTTAAATATATATTTAAATAAAATCACGCGCATGTTTCCTGCTAACCAAGATAAACAATTCTAAAAATTCTAAAAAACATAAAAACCAATCTCTTTGCTCTCTTCTACAAACTCTTATACTAACAAGAAAGAACTTTGCAGTCGGGCAGCACCGACTACATGATACTCATTCACGGTCCAAAAAGAGTTCAATTTTGTGTGGTAAACTGTAAGGCAATTACTTCATTTTCCCATTGTAGAGCTTAGCTCCGAATTGCAAGATATAGCTTTTTCAAAATTAATTTTCGGTAAAAGAAGCTAGAAAATAAAAGCTACCCTAAAATAAACATACAACTATGGTATAGCCACGCCTTCAGTCGGCAAAAACCTATCCAATATCTATTTTAATACTAGGTAGGCAGCCCCTGTTCAAGTTTCTAACGTTTTAGATAACAGCCTTGCCACGCCCCTGGTGTTTGTATCGGCAAAATCTTATCACCTTACCACACAAGTATACCCACAAATATACGAGTTTATCACTCCCTGAATGAGTATAAAAACTAAGGCTACTAAATGTATTATCGACCAAACTAAATGCCCCACCCAACTACTTAGGGTACATACTTTTTACTTCATATATAATTAATTAAAAAGAAACAAAATTCAAAGTTATATTAAATTAAAAATTCAATTCAATTAAATTACAAATATTAAAATTTAGTTTGGGCGCGAATACCTTTACTTTTTGGCGTTTTCTCTTTATGCGTTGCCTCTATAACTTATCTAACTTATCTACTACACAGCGAGCGCTTCACATTCATATATCATAGTTATTATACAATTATTTTAATATTAAATATATTTTATTTATGTTTGCCAGACAAAATCAATTGTAATATCTGTGATCAGATATTAGAGGGTCTCGAGCTGATTGATGATGAATGCGATGTTTTTGGCATACACATGGTTAAAATACAGGATCCACAGTTGGCCAAGAGATATTCCATTAAGACGTTCCCCGCTTTAGTTTACTTCCGGTGTGTAATGTTTAAATATAGAGAAAACTGGTTCTAATAATAATACTATATACATATATCTTACAGCAATGGCAATCCTTTGCTGTTTGAGGGCGATCTGCAGAATGAACAATCTGTCCTAGAGTGGCTGATAGACGATGATAATCGCGAATTGGCCGATGAAATTGAGGAGGTTAATGAACGCATGTTGGATCGTCTGATGGCTGAATCCACTTTACTAGTTGTGTTCTTTTGTAAGTAGGAAGAATTACCCAAAATTTCCATGAGAGTTTAACGAATTTTCTTTTAGATGATGATGATTGTGCTGAGTGTGAGGAAATTCTGGAGGAACTGGAAGAAATTGATGGCGAGGCAGATATGTTTGGCATTGACTTTGTTAAGATTGCAAGCGTTGAGGCGGCCAAGAAATACGAAATTGTCAATATACCCTCGTTGGTATATTTCCGGTAAGTTAGGAACTCAGTCAGCTCTAATATAAAATAGATATATTATTAACATCTATTTACTTTCCAGCAAACAAGTGCCCGTTCTCTATGATGGTGATTTGCATCAGCATGATAAGGTTATAACTTGGCTAACATCTCAGGATGTATTCGAAATTAAAAACGAAATTGAAGAGGTTAATCGCAAAATGCTTGATAAGCTGCTTGAGGAAAACGAATTTCTATCCGTGTTCTTTTGTGAGTGTGCTAAATAGTTTATAAAAATTGTAGATATTTATAATATATAAATATCTTCAGATGAGCACAATCAGCCGGATAGCGTGGCCGCGTTGGAGAAACTGGAGAATATTGACAGCGAAACGGATAATCTGGATATAACTTTTGTCAAAATGGCCGATTCGCGCTATGCCAAAAAATGGGGCGTTACCAAACTGCCAGCCATGGTCTATTTCCGGCGTCGTTTTCCCAGCATATATAGAGGTAAGTCTAGAAGTGAAGCTTCCCCCGCTTACAGCACACTCTCTCATCCTTTTTGGGTACCTACGATCGATCAATTGCCTGAGCAGTTGCTGTTCGGTCGTGTAGTGCAGTAAAGTGATATATGAGAGCGGAAGAGCCTCACTTTCTTATGATAGCATAATTATTAAATATGATTATCAGAATGTAGTTACTCCATTTGCCTTATCGCAACTATTCTATTTATTATTATTAAATTTAAATTTGTTCCCCTTCTCATTTCACAGGCGATTTGCTCTCGGAGGATGAGGTGCTCGAATGGCTGCGCAAGAATCGCTTCCGTCAGCCAGAGCTGAACATATTCATGTACGCTCTGATAGCCCTGGCGCTGGCATTCGTTGTCTATACCGCGTTTCTGCTGCAGTGCTTCAAGCCGGCACCGCCTCCGCCCGTGCAGCATCCGAAGCAGTCGTGATGAGATTTTACTTAGTGAAATTCAACTGTAGCTCAACTGCAACTAGAGAATTGTTGAAGGGATTGGCAGCTACGAGAAGGGCGTGCCAGAGATGCGTAGAGGAGCGAGAGTACGAGAGCAAATGAAAAAACCTAAATAAACGATACGAACACACACGAACATACACACACACACACTCACACACACGCAGACAACTAAACATCATCATTACATTACATTAAACTAAACGAACTATCATCAAGGAATCGTCTAAATTAGACGACTTTTAAGCAAAATGACTTTATAACGACAGAGCCGACTATGCTGCCCCCAAGTATTGTGCGAGAGAACCAAAGAGAGAAAGAGAGAGAGAGAGAAAGTCCCTGGTGACAGAACATTGCAAATATTACGTACTATAATCATTATGATATTGATGATAATAATAATGACAATCCGTTGACTTTTACGCAGATCTACGTAAACATTTATATAAATACCTTTTGAGACAAGTTTCTGGCTGCTTCCATATTTGTGGAATCTCACATTTCACCACACATAAATAATTAAATCAACACTCAAGTCATAGTAATTACTATTAAAAATTATATTTAAATAAAATTACAATAATTAAATAAAAGAGAACAAATCATTATAATTTTTACAACAACAAAAAACTATTACGGATCAATAAAAATTACTTTAAATTCTTGAAAATAAATATGTATATATGTTTTTTTTTTTTTATCGGAACCCATTGAGTAGGGGAACTCAGGGTATATTGAATTTACGGATGCATGGTAGACATCCTAAAGTATATATTTTTGATCCGTATTAACGCAACGATCCCGTAAATCGCAAAAACTAGAGACTTGAAGTTATAAATAAATATTCCTGTATACCACAAAAGATGATAACTAAATAATACCTAGATTTTTTATTTTTGATAGCTGTCTTGATTAAAATATCAGTTCAGGGTATATCGTAGTCGGGCACCCTCACTTGTTTATTTCAATTGCAAAATCTTCACCACTTCAATGGAACTTGTGCGAATGCCCTTCAGCTATCAGCTTAAGTTATCAGTCTGAAATTTCAACAAGGTAAACACGGGGGGCTTTTCGGCTTTCTAGAAAACTTCCGTTGGCAACAACAAAGTAAAATGAAAATTTCAGTACAATAGCCTAATTGACAGTATTGAATTATCGAATGTTATTGCTAAATATAGTGATGTGATAAATAATTATCTCATGTTCTGTGTTCTTGGCATTGTAATCTATTTGTTATAGATTATTTTCTTTCTCTTTCTATTTCAATGTGGAGATATCAACGTAGTTCAGCTATCTCTACCATTATCGCGTGCATTGATGTAGGCCTTATTTTTTCCCCGCTTTTTGCCAATTTGAAGTTATCAGTCTGAATTTTCAAACAAACAACAATGGGCTCATGAGGCTCAGCTCTTCGGCGCACATGACACGCCCCGCAACTGATATCTCTGTTGAAATTTCAGGTTGGCAACCTGTTAGGCTTTGCCATTATCAATTCTAAGTACATTGGTGGTACACTTAAAAAAATAAATTAATTACTTCTTATGTGGATCTTATTTTATTTTCAAATAAGTACTCGATATATTATTATAAAGATTATATTTATATTTATTTTTATTTTTTATAATGAATAATAGTTGCTTTATGTAAATTTATATTTACATTTTTAAAATAATAATAATTAATAATAATATAAATACATAATTTTTAAGAGAATTTAAGAAAAACTGCAAATTTAATTTATTTGAATATTCTCATTTAACATAAAAATTGTTTAAAATGTGTTTCTCTAAAATTGTTGATTTTTCGTTATATTATATGTATTTCTTTAAAACAAGTATTTAAAATTTTTTATTTTATTTTAAATTTATTATTATTATTTATTATATCAAATTTATTTTAAAATTCATTAAACTATAGAAACATTTTTTTTTAACAAATGCCCAAAAATATGTTTGCTATAGTTAAAAATAAATTAATAATAAATAAATTAATTAAGAAAATATTTCCTAAAATATGGGAAACCTTTTTCAGACCATTTCATAGTGGCTCTGCTCAACTTTCTGCTGTAGCGTACGCAAATTAATAAGTAGTCAACTAGTTAAAGCCTTTTTCTTTAACAAAACTTATGGGCTTTAAGATATAAGTCAAGTTAAGTAATGAAAAAGAAAAATGGCTTGGTATCTACAATAAGATATATAGGTAGAAATGGTATATAAAGTATGCTATGTTGGAGGCAATTTCCAATTAGAGTTCATATTCAATCAGTGCCATCACGATGAACGATCACAGCCTGCTAGTGGCGAAAATTGTGGTTATTGTGGTGCTGTTGGTGGTCACATTAATATTTTGCTTTCTGCCCTATATACTGAATCGTTGGTTCAAATGGACACAGCGAGAGAAGAGCAATGCACGCGAATTTCTGGCTGTACTTTGCCTACTGAATTTCGGTGGTGGTGTCCTGATTGCCACAACATTTATCCACATCTTGCCGGCGGTTGTTGGTGTTGTGAGTGCCCTGCAGAAGTGTGAGATGTTGGCCACGACGCCCTTCGCCCTGCCCGAGATGCTCATGTGCACGGGTTTCTTTCTGATGTACGCCATTGAGGAGGTGATGTACTTCATTGTGGGCAGGCGACAGAAGCGCAAGCAGAAGGCCATGCAGGAGGCACTGCAGGTGGCCATGGAGCAGGTAACCGAGCCGGAGGAGAAAGTCGATCTCGAGTTGGGTGAACAAGTCGAGCCGGAGCAGCCAAATTGGCTGCGTGGCTTGGGCATCATCGTCGCCCTCTCCCTGCACGAACTCTTTGGCGGCATGTCCATCGGACTGGAGGAGACCGTGGATACGGTGTGGTTCATGTGCGCCGCCATTGCAGTCCACAAGCTGGTCCTGGCCTTCTGCATCGGCATGGAGATTATGATGGCCCATACGCGTTGGCTCGTTGCTGTCATCTATCTGATTGTCTTCTCCATCGTCACGCCCATCGGCGTGGGCATCGGCATTGCCATCACAGAGAACACCAGTGCGAATCATCCGAGCATTCCCGCGGGCATCCTGCAGGGCATCGCCTGTGGCACACTGCTCTACGTCGTCTACTTTGAGATTGTGGCCAAGAACCACGCCGGCTGGCGCATATTCCTCTGCTCCCTGGGTGGATTTCTGCTCATGTTTGGCTTGCAAATTGCAGGTAAATTATATTTTATTATTTATTTATTATTTTATATGTCCGCTAACAATTTTTTTTTCTCTCCAACAGTTGTTGAAGCTGCTGGAAAGTCTGCATATGTTTGTCCCTCGGCTAAGAGTTAAAATGATGTGCTAATGCGTTCTTCAAATTGAAGAAATAACTTTAATAGAGATTTAGAAAAATTATAGCTTCAAAATTGGAGCTAAGAAAATGTATTTATAATTAATCGAAAGAAAAAATTTTCCGAAAGTCAATTACTCCTACTTTAAAATTAAGAATAGAAGTAAAAAAAAAAGCTTAAAAAAGAAGAATTATTTCAAATTAATATTTAGCTGAACCCCGTGAGCTCTATTAATAAGCCATAACCAACTACTTAACTACTCTATAACGATTTTAGCTTAAATCTTTAAAAGCATTCAAAGCTAATTTAATTTAAGTTGATTATAAAACAATTTTGTGAAATTAAGTGAAAATTTAAATAAATCAACGACTTATGAAAGATTAAAAAAAAACATAATTGATGTTTTAAAAATATAAAAATATTATATTGTCAATAGATTAGACATTAAAATTCATTGCAGCGGATGTCTGCCTTAAAAATATTATACATACATATATAATATTCTGAACAAATTCATTTCATTTTATCTAATCTGCAAAGTACGTTGTCTTAAAATATTCAAGTTTCAGCTTATTTAATTTTGATCAGTGTAGCGAATGTCTGTCAATAGTCTGCTTTAAAAAATAAACCTTTTTATATACATTTTTTTTTTTTTTTAGCAAACAATTGGCCGACTTTCGCTTCTTTGAGCAAAATTTAACACATCGAAGCATGGACATTTTAAGAACAAATATTTATAATATGTATAATATTTTTGCTAACAATTTTATATACATACAACTTTATTTTAAATTTATAAAAAAAAAAAATTGTATGTAAAACACACTAAATTTTACCCAGTGTAACAGATATCTGTCAATAGTCTTCCTAAAGTAGATCAAAATATATCATTCTTATCAGAGCAAATTAACATTTCAATATCATTTTAAGCAATTAAACTTAAAGTGTTACATAAATCAGTATCAAAATAAAATAGAGTAAAAAGAAAAAGTCGGAAAGTACGAACATTTAATCTATTTCCCAGGCGATCATAATTTCTGGTGTCAATCAGTGCTCAAATATATGAGATTTATGGCCGGGCAGATAGGGAGGGGTATATAAGTGGTTGTGTTTGTAACAATTCGTTTGCACTTGTCGCTTGCAGTCGGTGGTGCGAAGATGTACAAGAATCAAATGCCGCTGGTGGTGCCAGCAAGCACAGCTAAACTCATGGAAGTTGTGGATGTGAGTTCGACTGCGGCAACGGCTACAGGTGATCGGCATGCGTTGCTTGTGGCCAAAATTGTGGCTATGGTGGTGCTAATTGTGGTCACTGTGATCTGCGGCAGTTTACCCTATATGCTGGATCGCTGCCTGAAATGGACCAAAAAGGATCCCGAAGAGACGCGCGCTTCGACTGCGGTGCGCTGCCTGCTCTACTTTGGTGGTGGCGTTCTCTTCTGCACCACATTTCTGCACATGCTGCCGGAGGTGATCGAAACGGTGGAGCTACTGCAGCATTGTGGCATACTGGCCGACACGCCCTTTGCCCTGACCGAAATGCTGATGAGCACGGGATTCTTTCTGATGTACGGTCTGGATGAGCTGATGCATGTGGTGATGCAGCATCATCAGCAGAAGCTGAGCAGAAAGGAGTCGCTGGCCAGCCAAGCCTTCGTGCGTGGCCACAGCATAAGGCATAGCGTATTGCTGACAGGACGCAAACCGGAGGAAATGGAGCCAATTACAGAGGAGCATCAGCCATGCGATCACGGGCTGCCGGCAAAGAATGGACATGGTCACAGTCACATGCCCGTGGACACAAATGGCTCCTCAATGCGTGGATTGGGCATTATCTTGGCCTTGTCCCTGCACGAGCTATTCGAG